CAAATAAAATGTATTAGTAGAAATTTAATAGAAAAAACAGACAAGAACAAGATTTCAACATGACTTGTCTGTACAGGTATGCTTTGGACCCTTTCCCCACCACACCCCCAAGGTGCAAAACCAAGTGGCAATGAGAAAGAGTGGGTATAGAAGGACCACATGTCTCAAGCATCCTGCAGCTTCCTTTTGCCCACAGAGGTGTGCTTTGTACCTCTCTTGCTTCACTTTCCTGCCTCCCCTTCACCATAAGCCCCCACAGTGTAGGAGCTGGTGGCAGTGAGAGAGGGAATGCTGAGAGGTAACACAGAACACAACACATCTTTGACTTATTGCTGCTGCATTCCCTCCCCTAGTTCCCACCCACTGCCCAGGTTTGCATTGGAACCTCCCCCACGTGCCTCTCAGCCATAGACCATGTGGTGCATGTGCCTCAGCAGTCAGAGAGAGTGAGCATAAAACAACCACACCGCTAAGATGTCTTGCTCAGACCTTTTTTTCTGACTCTCCCTATGCACCCCTCTGCCACAAGTATAGGAGTCAGCAGCAAGAGAGATAGAGAAACAGAGAATGAAAGCACGAATTCACACATCTCAAGATTTTCTGCTGCTACCTTTTAGCCTGCACAGGTATGCTTTGAGTCCTCCTCCCCGATAAGCCACCCATTTCATAGAAGCCCATGTCAGAGAGAGAGAGCGAGCAGAAAGAACACACTTCTCAGACTTCAGCTGCTGTCTTTTGCACTGGTGTACTTTAGACACTTTCAACTCTTCAACTTGTTTGCCTTAAATCTTCATGGTGCAGAGGCCAATGGCAACAAGAGACAGGGAGAGTGAGCACAGAAGGGCAGTGCATCTCAGCCTTCTTGCTGCTGCCTGTTACACTGGTGTGCTTTACACACACATCCCTCACCCATTCTCCTCCACCTTAAGCCCTCACTGTGCAGAAGCCAGAGACAGTGAAAATGAATGAGCTCAGAAGGACCACATGTCTGACTTCTTCCTGTTGCCTTTTGTCC